AACAACAACAACAACAAGGAGGATTTTGGCTTTACTTCTTCCAAAACACATGTCCGTGATACATTCAGCAATCTCTGCTGACACTATATTCCAGATGCAGCAATTGTTCTTTGTTCTTCCTTATTCATTGTCCAGCGTTTGCATGTATATGAGGCAATGGAAAAGACCATTATTTGGGTCAAGCGCACCTTAGTCCTCAAAGTGAAATCTTTACATTTTAACACTTTAATGAAATTTACTTATTTTTGCCTTTATTTTAAATTTTGGTTTTCTTTCCATTTATCATAAGGACTGAACACCTATTCTAGAAGGAATTTTGTTTTTTCCTTCATCCAAGTTAATATGTGTCTGCCCTCTAGTTCGTAGTTTAAGCTCCCTTCCCCACTTGGCTGGACTGTGATTTTGAGTGGCTTTGCAGCTGGTTGTAGTTATTTTCCATGATTAGATTGGATGTGGATTCCAATGATGGATTCCACTCCATGGTGAAGTCTGCTGTAAGCAGTTAATCATTTGAAGGGGAGTTACCTTCAGGGTGTGGCCTGCTTCTAGTGTATAAGGAAAAGAAAAAAAAACACTGCCACTGAGTCGATTCCAACTCATAGTAACCCTCTTTGGGTTTCTGAGGCAATAAATCTTTATGGAAGTGATTGCCCAGTCTTCCTTCCATGGAGTGGCTTTTTTGAACCAACCTTCTGGTTAACAGATGCCTTAGGCACTATGCCACAAGAGCTCCTTGTATATATGGAAAGGAGCCTACATTTGGTATACAGGTTTTCATCTCCAGTTCCTGGACTTGAACCAGTAGACTGCCATATTGCCTGCTGACGTTGGAATTGTACCATTTTACCTGCTGATGTTGGGTTCATCAGCCTTAGCAGCCCACAGCTTATGAGAAACCTCCAGCTTGCTCCAGTGAGCCTGGAACAAGAAGCAGAGGGGCCTCCACCCAGCCCCTAGAGCCAGCACTCTGAACTCAGACATCTGGATTGTCCTCCCTTAGAGCTGACAGTCTTAACTCAGACTTCTGGCTTCCTAAATGTAAGAGAAATAATTATCTGTTTGTTAAAATGGGCAAAGGATTAGAATATTCGTTTCACTGAAGAGGACACTGAAACAGCCACCAAACAAATGAAAAGATGTTTAGGAAAAAAGAAAATAACAAATGTTGGTGGGGGAAATTGCAACCCTTATCCATTGCTGGTGGAAAAGAACAGTGGTACAGCTGCTGTGGAAAACAATGTAGCAATTCCTCAAAAAACTAAAAATAAAATTCCCATACCAAACCCGAACCCATTGCCCTCAACTCGATTCTGGACTTGTATTTATCCTATACTTCCACATGACCCAGAAATTCTACTCATAGGTATATACCCAGAAGACGTAAAAGCAGAGACTCAAACAGATACTTGTACATCGGTGTTCTTGCAGCACCGTTCATGATATCCAAAAGGTAGAAACAACCTAAATGTTCACCAATGGATGAATGGATAAACAAAATGTGGTCCGTAATACATATAGTGGAACACCTCTCAGCCACTAAAAGAAATGAAGTCTTGATACCTGCCACAATATGGATGGAGCTTGAAGACATTAGCTTAGTGGAATAAATGAATCACAAGAGGACAAATATTGTATGATTTCATTTATATAAAAGACGAGAAAAGGCGAATACATAGAGAACAAAGTTCCGTAATGGTTAACAAGGGAGGAAAAGAGAGGGAAAAAGGTGGGTTGTTGCTTATAGAGTACTGAGTTTCAGTTTATAGTAATGGAAAAAATCACATTGATTAAGGATAGAGTTGTACATTTGATGAATGTAGTTGCTGTTCAATAAGTTGTGTTGTTGTCGTTGTTGTGTGCCATCAAGTCAGACCCGACTCATAACGACCCCTTCTTGGGTTTCCGAGACAGTATCACTACGGAAGTAGATTGCCCAACCTTTCTTCAAGTTGGAATGTCAAAATTTGTATGATAGGTATAATTACAACAATGACCGGGAAAAAAAAAAAAAAAGAGTAGCTGTGGAGGCTACTTGTGTGTAACAAAACACATAGGATTTGGTTCCTTTGGAGGTTTATTGTTGTTGTTAGGTGCTGTTGAGTCATCTCCGACTCCTAGCGACCCTATGTATGACAGAATGAAGCACTGCTCAGTCCTGTGCCAGCTCCACAATCTTTGCTATACCTGAGCCCATCATTGTAGCCACTGTGTCAATCAGTCTTGTTGAGGGCCTTCCCCTTTATCGTTAACCCTCCACTTTGTTGCAATATGCAGTGCAACCACTGCTGTGGAGTTGAATCCGACTCGTAGCGACCCCTTCTTGGTTTTCCATTTTGTTACCAGGTTTGATATCCTTCTCCAGGGAATTGTCCCTTCTGACAACACGACCAAAGTAGGCAAATGAAGCCTGGCCATTCTCGCTACTAAGGAGCATTCTAGCTGTACTTCTTCTAGGACAGATTTGTTAGTTCTTTTAGTAGTCCATGGTACTTTCAGCATTCTTCACCAACACCACAACTCAACAGTGTCGACTCTTCTTCGATCTTCCTTATTCATTGTCCAGCTCTCACATGCATAAGAGGTGATTGAAAATACCATGCTTTGGGTCAGGCACACCTTAGTCTCTTCAAGGAGATATTTTTGCTCTTCAGCACTTTAAAGAGGTCTTTTGCAGCAAATTTACCCAGTACTGTACATCATTTGATAATCTTGACTGCTGCTTCCATTGATGTTGATTGTAGAACCAAGTAATATGAAGTCTTTGACAACTTCAGTCGTTTCTCCATTTATTATGATGCTGTTTATTTATTTGTCCATGTTGTGAGGATTTTTGTTTTCTTTATATTGAGGCGTAATCCATACTGCAGACTGTAATCTTCAGTCTTCATCATTAAGTGCTTCAAGTCATCCTGCTTTCGGCAAGCAAAGTTGTGTCGTCAGTGTATCACAGGTTGTTAATGAATCTTCTTCCAATCCTGATGCTACATTCTTCATATGGTCCAGCTTCTTGGATTATTTGCTCAGTGTACAGATTGAATGAGTACGGTGAAAGGATACAACCCTAACACACTCCCTTCTTGATTTTAAACCATGCAGTATCCCCTTGTTCCGTTCGAACAGCATGCTCCTGGTCTATGTACAGGTTCCTCATGAGTACATTTAAGTATTCTGGAATTCCCATTCTTCTCAATGTTATCCATAATTTGTTATGATCCACACAATTGCATGTTTTTGCATAGTCAATAAAACACAACTGAACATCCTTTTGGTATTCTTTGCTTTCAGCCAAGTTCCATCTGACATCAGCAACGATATCCCTCGTTCCACGTCCTCTTCTGAATCCAGCTTTCATTTCTGGAAGTTCTCTGTCAATATACTGCTGCAACCATTTTTGAATTATCTTAAGTAAGAATTTACTTGCCTGCAATATTAATGACATTGTTGTTGTTGTTACGTGCCGTGGAGTCAGACCCGACTCATAGCAACTTCTCCTTGGGTTTCCGAGGCAGTATCACTACGGGAGTAGATTACCCAGCCTTTCTTCCGAGGAATGGCTGGTGGGTTTGAACTGCCTGCCTTCTGGTTAACAGGCAAGTGTCTTAGGCACTATGCTACCAGAGCTCCTTATATTAATGATAGTGTTTGATAATTTCCACATTCTGTGGGATTACCTCACTTTGGAATGGGTACAAATATGGATCGCTTCCAGTCAGTTGGCCAGGTAGCTTTCTGCTGAATCTCTTGCCATAATCAAGTGAGTGCCTTCAGTGGGGGATCCGTTTGTTGAAACATCTCAATGGGTATCCAGTAAATTCCTGAAGCCTTGTTTTTCGCCACTTCTCTCAGTGCAGCTTCGACTTCTTCCTTCAATACCATTGGTTATTGATAATATGCCTCCTCCTGAAATGGATGAATATCAACCAATTCTTTTTGGTATAGTGACTCTGTGTATTCCTTCCATCTTCTTTTGATGTTTCTGCATCATTCAATATTTTGCCCATAAAAATCTTTCAGTATTGCTACTCGAGGCTTAAATTTTTTTCTTCAATTCTTTCAACTTGAGAAACGCTGAGTGTGTTCTTCCCTTTTGGTTTTCAAATTCTAGATCTTTGCACATTTCATTGTAACAATTAACTTTGTCTTCTGGAGCTCACTCTGAAATCTGCTGTTCATCTCTTTTATCTTGTCATTTCTTCCATTTGCTTTAGCTACTCTCCACTCAAAGGCAGGTTTCAGAGTCTCTTCTGACATCCATTTTGGTCTTTTCTTCCTTTCCTGTCTTTTTCATGAACTTTTGCTTTCTTCGTGGATGATGTTCTTGATGTCATCCCACAATTCCTCTGGTTTTCAGTCATTGGTGTTCAATGCATCAAATCTATTCTTTAGATGGTTTCTAAATTCAGAAGGGATATATTCAAGGTCATATTTTGGCTCTTGTGAACTTGTTTTAATTGTCTTCAACTTCAGCTTGAAAGTGCATATGACCAGTTGATAGTCTGTTCCACAATCAGCTCCTGGCCTTATTTTGGCT